TTGCCTACAGCCATATTTCATGAAGACATTTTCTCAGTTGAAGTTTTCTCTTCATAGATAACTCTATCTTGTGTCAAGTTGATATAAAAACTAGGTAGCACACTGATTTAAGATGAATGTAATAATCAACACTCTGTCTTTCACTGGTTTTCTTTTCTTTCTTCTTTTTTTTTGTCTCTTTATTCACAGGGATCTTACATCTTTAAAAATGGGTCTGGGAGATGAGATGGCTCAATGATAAGGTTATTGTGCAAGTGCGGGGACCTAAGTTAAGGTTCCCAGCACCTTCCATTATTCATACTACTTGTAAGTAGAATTTTAAATGATAAAGGAATTGTAATTTCAGTCTTTTTATCTCAGAGAAATGAGCATTTATGATGTTATAAAAATCCTCTGTGACCTTATTGGCTTTACTCACGATGTTATTAGGAAACCATTTTATGTGACGTGAAATAATAAGATGACTGAGCTTGTCATCAGGCAGCTCTGATAAGAGCTGTGCCTCAAAAGCAAGCTTGAGGCAGACTACCTGACAACTCAAGATACCTCAGACAAGAGCCTAGCCCAGGACAGGCCTTGATATTTTAATGAGATAACCCCAAGGTGGTGTTGACATGCTAGGAAACCAGTTCCAAGCTGTGAGCAATAAGAGTACAAAGATAACACCCAATGAAAAGAAAAAAAAAAAAAAAAAAAAAAAAAAAAGGACCTTTGAGCGTGGTCTCTAGGATCACACTGCTCCCAAGACATAGATTCTCTAACTTTTGTGCTGATATTCAGTGGCAAAAGTACCCGAGACTGTGCATGGATGGCCCTGACCTCAGTGACCACTGAGCTTCCAGCACTGTTGCTGGGCCCACTTGTCAGCCTTAGAAGTTGGCCTATGCAGTCAAGGATATCAAGAACCTCCATCAGTGCCATCATCCCAGCTGAAGGATTCCATGGTGGATGTGGTAGAGCCTATAAGCTTCTGAGACTCTTTGTAGGGAAAGAATCCCCACTGGAACCTTGTAGCAGCATGTCCGCCCAAACAACAGTTCAGTACTTAAGAAGTATTTATTTAACTTTTCTTTTAGCATGATATTGTAAGGATTAGTTGCATGAATAAGACAAGCACATCCTAAGGCAAATCTTGTTTGGACATTCTAATACCAAGTGTCTTAGAGCCCATAGGCCATGCTCTCTGCAATGGATCTTAGGTTGCTGTGTCTCGACTGTGATGATAGGAATAGGAACCTACTTGACAAAATTGTTTAGAATTAAGCATGCATACATCTAAATAAATACATGTAAAACTTAGAATTCTGAGAAAACATGGTGAACTCTACAATTTAAAAATTCCGGCTAAGACATCATATGGCAATCATGAGGACAACAGGCTTTCTCTGTGTTATTTCTTACACTTGCACATGGACCAAAAGTGACTTCAAAAGAAAAACGTTTACTTAAAAAAATGAAAATTGCTGGCTGTGGTGTTACATACCCGCAAACTCAGTATTCAGGCGGGAGAGGTAAGTGGAGCTCATTGAATTGGAGGAAAACTAGAAAAACACACCACAACACAAGATAAACTTATGGGATTCTTTCTTGGAATGGACAGCTTTTTCAATTATGGGGAATTTTATTCACTATTTTGCTATGACCATGTTAAATAGTTCAAGGAAGGAAACAATAAATAACTTAGTACTGCTAAAGAGGAACAACGACAACAACAAACTAATATATTGTTTCAGCATTAACTTCTGATTAAAAAAATCAAAAGAGCAGGCAACCTAGAAATGTAAGAATATTAAGGTAAAAAAATATAAAACATAGGAAGATTCCTATTAAGTCCAGGAATCACTAATTTTTGCAAATCATATAAATACTCAGTAATAAGTATAAAGCATGTAACATATTATGGATTTCATAGTCTTAAAAATTCCTAACTACAATAATATCTGTATTAGAGATTATATTCATGTCAAGACACAGAGTTCTGTTTCATAAATATTTTATAAACAGAGACCCCAGATAATTTTTTTGTGCATATATCTGTTTCCCTACGTAGGCATGTATGGAGGAGGGATCAATGCTGGGTGTTTTCCTGTTGCTTTCCACTTTATTTTCTGAGACAAGGTCTCTCATTGAACCCAGACTTTATCCTCATTGCTTGGGCTGGATGGCAGTGCTCTTGTGTCTCACCTTCCCAGAATTATGCTACCTCTTTTACGTAGGTGCTAGAGATCTGAACTCAGTTTCTCATGTTTGCATAGTAAACACTTCACCCACTGAGCAATCTCTCCAGCACCCATCTCTCTAGCATGAGAAGTAAATTTATATATTTCAATAGTCTGAAGCATAAAACAATACTTCTCAGTGTGAAATTTTCTACTGGCTCATTAATGTTGGCATTAAACGCCTTTTGAATTTTAGAGCATACAGTGTGTGTGTGTGTGTGTGTGTGTGTGTGTGTGTGTGTGTGTGTGTAGGGATTATATCTAACTTAAAAGGTTTAAAAATAAACACAGTAATAAGAAGCTACCAGAAATGGCCAGATGTGAAAAAAAACACAAAACACAAAAACAAAACAATACTCATAAATAAAAAATAAAACTTGAAGTCAACTCAATAGATGTGTTAAGCAACAGATGTGTGGAAGTTAAGAAAAGGCCTCAAGTATATATACAATGATATATACTGAAATAAATGAAATATATGAAAGAATTAAGAGGAAAAAGTAAAGGGAGAAAGTCAGAGGGAAAAGGATAGCATATGTATTAGAAATCTCACAACAGCTATAACGAAGCATCAACAACATAAATTTCTATAACTGATAAAAGATCCATTTACAGTCTTAAGAAACTAAATCCCAAGTGAGTACATAAGAGAAATCAAGGTCTAGAAAACTAGAATGTATCCTAGAAATTGACAGACAATTTATATTAAGCACTTTGGATAAAGGACTTCCTGAAGAAAAACCCGACTGTGAATTGAAAGAATATAGTTGCAGTACATACAACAAAGGCTTAGTATATATTATTAGGAAAAGAGATTTCAACAGAAACATGGGCAAAAGCAACAAAAGGCAGTTCAAAAGAAAACCACATGTTTAATTAACATATGAATAGATGTTGAACCTCATTAAGAGTCAGAGAATTGCAAATATCACTTCAAAGAGACAGCATCCACAGTTACCAAATTAGCAAAAATTAAAAACTATAGCAAGACCGAATTTGAGTTCATTAGTGCCTTCCTAGCATTCCTTAAATCCTGTGTGGACATTACACACTATCTTATAAACTGGGCTCATAACAAACATTTCATTACAGCCAAATGGATTTTGTCATAAAAATGCCCATCCATGACTCTAGGGGGAGGGATTCCACTGCAACAGAAACAAGCACAAAAACAATGACAGCAGATTAAAAGGTATTTACCAGAAAAGGGTCAGAACAAGAGTGGATTCACGTTCTATATTTACCTATAAGATGGAGCTGTAAGGCTCAATTTTAGGGGACTATCATGGGAAACACTTCTCTTTTCTTTTTATTGTTTTAAACAAAGGGAAAAAGGTTAGAACAAAGAGCAAGAATGAGCATGACATAGGAAGGAAAGGATACTGAGTAGCCACAAAGGTACAGGAATAAGGATTAGCTTAGAGGGGAACAAAGCCCGATTTCACAGTACTGAGACATTACTTCTTTGCCCTGTACAGGTTCTGTCTGGCTCTACACTCCTTTACTAGTTCCTCCTCTTTTACTCTTGCCTCTGGAGCCTCAGACTTTTACTCCTTCTAAAGGTATATTCTTCCCCAAATGTGCACAAAGGTCTGGTTTCAACTGTCAACTCTGAGGTATTCTCCGAACACAGAGAAATAAAATCCCCTCTCCACTACTGTTTACTTCTATTCCCTTTCCTGACTTACTTTATATAATGGCTAAATGCTACCTAAGCACCTACTCTCATGAGCCCTACTCTCATAGCTGCTTTTACAGCACCTCGGGAAGCCTGGCAAAAGGTAAAAAGGCTCAATAATTATCTGCTGCATGAATGGTTACTAGGATTTGAGGAACTTAAAAGAACAAATATAATGAAAACAATAGTCTTAAGATTTTTTATAAATATTTAGTATATTCTTCACCTTTCTGCTTGCAGTAGAGGTGACAATTCAGATCTTAAATCATGAGAAGTTTGGCAATTATAAGGGGGGGGGCATCCGTGCACATTTGAGAAATGATGTATTTGTAGAGAAGGGATGACTTGATCCAGATTTTTGCTAACAATGTCTGCAAGAGTGGACAGGTTTCTCTATTCTGAAAGTTTTTTACTTAAGTACTACAGCCATTTCTTGCAACAAAGATGAGTATAAAATTCAGAATATAGTTTACATAAAACTACTATCCCTAACCACTTTACCAATTCTAAAAGTCTGAAAAAAGTTAGATCTTCAGTGAAAGAGTATATACATCTCAAACTGGGAACACTGTTATTAAACTTCTCAACTTTCAGGATGACTAAACGACGACTGAAAATTCTTGTTGGTGGGAAAGAGGCGTATGAAAAACAAGTTAAGAACAGTCAAATTCAAATTTTTAGTAGTAAACATTGAACCCTTCATGAATTTTGGAACGGACTCGAAAGCTGTCATAAATTAACGTGCACTTTTTGCTATTTCCTATTAGTCTACCTTCCTTCCCATTTCTGAAAAACCCACTTCAGTTTCACCCCATCTCAAAGGCTCGTCTACCGAAGTTATAATTCCCAGAAGGCGGGTAGCTTTCGGGTAGACTCAGAAAAGCTGGGAGGCGTGTGCAGAGGACTCGGACGCGGGTGAGGTCAGTGCCGGGGCTCTTCAGCAGGAGAGGCAGAGGACACTAAGGTGCTTAGAGCGTCACAGGGCAGGCCAGAGGTCAAGACTCAGGTCTAAAGCCACAGGGCCAGGCGGGCCTCAACAACAGAGGGCGGCGCGTGGGCTCCGGGAGTAACCGTGAGGGAAGGCGGCGACTCGAGGGACTCACAGTAGTAGGCCACCACGGGGTCCCGTTTGTCATGCTCCTGAGCCGTTCTCAAATGATGCTGTATGCTCTTAAATTGAGCGGGTAGAGGCGGCAGCGGGGCCAGCGCGGCCATCTCCACTCCCGGAAGCGCCGCTTCCTACTAGCAGGCCACAGACGCTTCCGCTTCCGCCTTTGAGTGCCCAACGGCTTGTCCGCAACGGATGCCCGAAAGAGACAAACTTAGCTGTCTGGCTCCAGGCATTTATAACCGGGAAAATGAGCGTCTTCTATATTGTACACAGCACCAGCGCTCTCTGCTGGTAAGAGGAAGAGAGCATTTTTATTAATATGGAATTTAAGGAAAAGAAAGGGAAAAATAAGAAAGTGAAGTATATTAACTGGGAAAAAGGAAAACTCTCCCTCCCTTAACTATTGCTCGTGTGTGTGTGTGTGTGTGTGTGTGTGTGTGTGTGTGTGTGTGTGTGTTGGGAACATTCTAGGCAATCACTCTATACTATTAAGCTACCTTCTTAGCTCTCAACTTCCTCCCTCCCTCCCTTCCTTCCTTCTTTCCTCCTCCTCCCCTCCTCCCCTCTCCTTCCCTTTTCCCCTCCCCTCCCCCTTCCCCCTCTTAGGCATCCTTGTCCCACCTACAAGAGACTGGGTCTCACTAAGTTGCCAAAGCAGTCATTAAACTTTAAATCCATTACCTAGGGCTTCCCAGTTAGTAGAGATTAAAACCATGTTTATAGATAGCCCACAGCACTTTTGGGGGTTAGGGTGGGGCAAGGGCTCATTGATTTTAATAGAGCAAATGATCACAAAACAAACTTTTATAAGCATTCATTAAAGAAGTACACATTGCAACCTTTCTAGAAATTGTAGAGAGATACTGGAAACATATGTGAAGGAAGTTGGAACTGGAAACAACCATCGCTTTTAGAAGTGTTAGATCCGTGCATGAGAAGTACTGTTTAAATATTAAATTAAAATTTGCATGTTCACAGAACTGCTGCTTGCAGCCATTGACATGCACAGACACACCCCAAGAGAGGCAGGGTCCTGTCCGCCACCTGCAGCACGTGGTCGAACCTGGCGCCAGGATTGGTGCTCATTAGGCCACCGGCCCCCAGAGCTCGCGGCCCAGCACCAGTACTGTGTAAGTGCCAGGAGGCCATTTTGTCAGCAAGCTGAGAGGAAGACTGAGGCAAGATGTCAGGCCGGAGTGGGAAGAAAATGTCCAAGCTGTCCAGGTCAGCCAGGGCTGGTGTCATCTTTCCAGTAGGCCGGTTGATGCATTACCTGAAAAAGGGGACATTCAAGTACAGGATCAGCTTCGGTGCACCCGTCTACATAGCCGCTGTCATTGAGTACCTAGTAGCAGAAATCCTAGAATTGGCTGGGAATGCTGCGAGGGACAACCACAAGGCCCGGATAGCCCCCAGACACATCCTGCTGGCCGTTGCCAATGATGAGGAGCTCAACCAGCTGCTGAAAGGAGTGACCATCGCCAGTGGGGGTGTCCTGCCAAAAATCCACCCTGAACTGCTGGCCAAAAAACAAGGGATCACAGGCCAGTCAGAAACGATCCTCTCCCCGACCCCAGACAAAAGAGGAAGAAAGGCCTCATCAGGCAGGAAGGGGGGAAAGAACTCCGTGAGCACCAATCCACGGACGCCCAGGAAGTCCATGCCAAAGGACAGCGGTAAGGAAAGAACATCCAGTTCCACCTCTGAAGATGGGCCAGGAGATGGATTCACCACCCTGTCTTCGAAGAGCCTCGTTCTGGGGCAGAAGCTATCCCTGACCCAAAGTGACATCAGCCATATTGGCTCCATGAGGGTGGACGCCATTGTCCACCCAACCACAGCCGAAATTGACCTCAAGGAAGAGATAGGTAAAGCCTTGGAAAAGGCTGGGGGTAAAGAGTTACTGGACATGGTAAAGGAGCTTCGCAAATCCCAAGGCCCTTTGGAAGTTGCTGAAACTGCCGTCAGCCAATCCAGGGGACTCGCAGCCAAGTGTGTCATTCACTGTCACATCCCGCAGTGGGGCTCCGACAGCTGTGAAGAACAGCTGGAAGAGACCATCAAAAACTGCCTGTCTGCAGCTGAGGATGAGAAGCTTAAGTCCATCGCCTTCCTGCCTTTCCCCAGTGGCAGAAACTGCTTTCCCAAACAGACGGCCACCCAGGTGACCCTCAAGGCCATCTCAGCCCACTTCGAAGACTCGAGAGCATCCTCTCTGAAGAACGTGTACTTCCTGCTCTTCGACAGTGAGAGCATCGGCGTCTATGTGCAGGAAATGGCCAAACTGGACACCGAGTAGAGCTCGAGCTGGCACGGAGGAGGACCAATGTCACGTCACAGGAGCAGGGGTTTATTTTTTTAAAGGATTGAGGAAGGGTGACATGGCAGGGGAGCAGAGGGCATCTGAGAGGGTGTCTGAGCAGTGGAACAGGTCCTGCCTGCCTGGGGAAGAGGCCCAGTGCATTATACATTCTCTTTACAAAGGGCCACTTCCGCACTTAGCCAGGTCTCCACCAGGGGTTTCTTTCCATGTGTTTTCTTCCTGTTGTTTTAGAACTTTTTTTAAAAAAATAAACAAACATAAAATTAGACCTTATTTAGACTTACAGAATTGACTTCTACACACACTCTCGTTCTGTCTCACAGACACACAAATACTTTCAAAGTTCTTAAGGCATTGGTTCCTCCTTCTTCCAAGCAAAGAGGAGGTGACAGCCAAACTTGGGTATGCTGGCTCTCTCCCTCAATGGAGAGGAGATGGGAAAGAAATCTTGGGATACTTTCTGTAACAGGGTTCCCTCCCTGCCCCTGAAATATTTGTAATTACACCTAAAAGGATTTTGCTTCGGGATTTTTTGTTTGTTCAGTTTTGTTTCTTAAAGAAAAAGAAAAATGCAAAAAAAAAAAAATAATAATTGCGTGTTCACGCATTAGACTAAATTGTACTGCTTAAATATTAAATTAAAATGTGCATGTTCACATATTGGACTAAATAGCCATCCATTTTCAAATTTGAAAGCTAGGTGCAGATTAACGAAGACTGAATCCTTTCTCTGATCTGGCTAGTGTATGTTTTAGTGACCTACTACTATGCAAGTTGATTAATCGCCGTAGATGATGAGCAGGAAGAAAGTGTTATCCTTGTCAAAATGGAACCCTGCAGTTTCACTCAACCCTGCTGACTCATGAAATTTAAAGCGTGCTTCACCTCATTATAAGCAGTTTCTTGTGCCTCCACTCCATTCCATAATATCATCCTTACGGACTACTTGCGTTTCATTTGCACCTTTCTTTTCCTCTCTCTCTCTCCCAGTACTCAATTCTGAGGCTTTATTTTAATTTTTTTTTTTTTTTACTGAAATCCTAGTACTGCCAAGAACTAAAATCTGAAGCTATGAAATTTCCTACCTAAAATTTATGTTCACTCCTCCACAATGTCCTATTTAGATACTTTGTCTATGAATGTTTTCTATACCTTGCGCTTTTATTTTAATTTAATTAATTTACAATTAATATACAAAGTAATGAGTCTTATAAGTTTTCTTATGGCATTTTCATATATATGAATTTTATTAAATGACGTATGCTATATATGTATGTAATAAAGCAATGTTGGACTTTGTCAAAGGCGTTTTCTGTGTTTATTGATATTATCCTGTGATTTCTGTCCTTAAGTATATTTATATGGTAAATTGCTTTTATTGATTTGCATGTTCAACAAACTTTGCATATTTGGGATTACATCTTGACCATAGTTTACAATCTTTCTAATGTGTTTAAAAGTTTTGCTTTGTTTTACAATTTTTGTATCTATATTCTTTGCCAATATTGGTATACAGTGTTCTTTTGCCTTACCTGGTTTAGTACCAGGATAATACTGGTGTCACAGAATGAGTTTGGTAGTGTTACTTCCCTTTTTATACATTGAATAGTTTGAGAAGTATTACTACAATCTCTTCAATAAAGGCTCATTAGAATTCAATAGTGGTAATAGAATTCATGGTGGCAAACAGCTTTACTCCTAGCATTCTAATGGCAGGGGTAGGTAGATCTCTGAGTTCTGGGATAATCTAGCCCAAAGAGGGAATTACAGGATAACAGGGCTACAAAGAGAAACACTGTCTTGGGGGAAGAGGAGTGCATCCAATAGAGAATATGACTACTCTTATTTATTTATTCATTTTTATCTATCTATCTATCTATCTATCTATCTATCTATCTATCTATCACCTATCAATCTATCATCTATTTAACTATCTATTTATTTTGCTTTGTGGGCAAACTTTTGAAAAAAATTATTGCTTCATTTTCATTTTCTCCTGAACCCTTTTAAGTTGCTTCCTTTAGATTTTTCAGTTTTCTTTTAATATAAGTTTTGAACTATTCTTTAATATTGTGCAAGTTTCATCACAATCTCCAAAACAACCTTTTCTTATGTCTCTATTTCTGGGTTTTTTTCCCTCTTTCTTTTGATTAGTTTGACTAAGAGTTTCCCAATCTGATATGAACTATTCAATGGTAATCCTCTGGTCCATTATTAGTTTCTGCTCTGTCCTTCATTGGTTCTTGATGCCTACTACTTTGGGAGTTTTGGGTGTTCTTTTTTTCCTTAACATGTTTGAAGGATACTCGTAGGTTATTTATTAGTGATCTTGATATATTTTTTTTAATTCATGTACTTACAGCTTTACAGTTCCCACTAACTTACAATTTTACTCTTTCCACTAACAACTGTCTTTATCTGTATATCAAAGTTCTGATAAGCTGTGCTGTCATTTTCATTTGATTTCAGGCATTGTGAAATTTCTTCCTAATTTCTTTAATGATCCCCAACTCTTTCAAGAGTGTATGTTCAGGACTTAACTATTTGTGTTGTTGCTGTGTTTTCTCTTTTTTTCTTTTTTTTTTTTTTTTTGTTTCTAGTTTTATTGTCTCACAGATACAAGGAATTTTTCAATTCTCTTGTATTTATTTAGACTTGCTTTCTGACCTATAATATATTTTATGATAGAAAAAGTTCTGTAGGATGAGTAGAAAAATGTATATTTTGTATATGTTGGGTAGAATTTTCTGTAGCTATTAAGTCTCCCTGGTCTTAATACAGTTTAACTTTGAAATTGCTTTGCTGATTTTTGGTTTGAGTGGATTTTCTGAGGATAAAAATAGGGTATTGATATCTGGGGTACTGGGTGTGTCAATGCACATTACTGTTTAATTTATGAAATTAGGTGCTCAAATATCCAGTGAATGCATGATATATTTACAATTGTATTATTCATATTGACTAATTGGTCACTTGACTAAAATGTAGTGGTCTTCTTTATTAATTTTGGTTTGAAGTTTATTAGCTAGCTACAACACCTGATTTGTTTCTATTTACTTAATATTCATGGGAATATTCTTTGTCTCAGGCTCTAGGTTACTTTCCCAGAGGTGTTTTTCTTCGAGCTAGAGTTATATATGCTTGTAAATAGTCCGGCAGGCACGCTTGAGAACAAACTTACAACTTCTACAAGAGCACTACTTATTCTTAACCACTGCATGATCTTTGCTAAGCTTGGGTCTTGTTCTTTTATCCAGCCAGCTACTCTCACCTTATAAATGGTGAGTTGGGGTCTTTTGAAGTTCAGTTTGTTGCTGAGCATTTGCTAACGTCTCTGTTTCATTTGTTGTTTTTCTGGTTTGTTAGGTCATTTTTCATTTCCTTCTTCCCCTATCAGAAATGTTGTTTTTCTCCTCTACCTTCACTTCCTCCTCCTCCTCATCTTCATCTTCTTCGTTGTTTATTTGCTTGCTTGCTTGCTTTTTTTTCTTACTGTATTGAAATAATGGATTTTTTTTTCTTTTATGAACTTACTCTATCATGTGCTCTCTTTTGCATTTCCATATAAAATTTAGGAACCACTTGCAGATATTTATAAAAATTTGCTGACATTATATTGAATTTATAGATCTATTTGAGGTACCAGAAGTTCTAAGTGATTAAAGTGACCAACACAATTATATCTGTGACATGCTTTCTTTTTGTAATTTAATTTCAGGACTGCCACATTAGCAGTCTACAAATATTGTGTAGTTTTCTTCTATGTGTTTCTTGCTTTTTTAGTCCAATGTAAAAGGTAATACTTTAACAAATTTAAATACTTTGTTGCTGAAAAGCAGTGTTTTCTTGATGAATTTCACTATTATTGTAGGTATTTTTAAAAAATGCTTAAAATTTTTCTATGTACTACTATATGAGTGCATATCTTTTATTTTGCTTTTGTTGAATATACTGAAGAAATCATTAAGAATATATACTATTTTTTGTTTTTGTTTTAATGAACTATAGTTCAAGTTAAACCAAAACAATAAAAGTAGAAATCTTTCTCTTTGTCCAAATCATAAGGAAAATTGTTCATTCTTTCAATATTATGGAGTATTTCCTATGATTACTTCTTGTATTTTTAAATCAAATTTAGCTATTTCTCTAATTAAGAAAAAAGTTCAGTTTTGTTTATTTCATCAGAAATAACTGTTACTTTTAATCAGATAATTTTACTTGCATCTGTTAAGATGACTATGTGGTTTCTTCCTTTATTCATTTAATACAGTTCAATTACATCAATCATCTTTTTAATGTTACTTAAAAAAAAACCAAATGTGTCATTTCCAGGGCAAACCCAACCTGGACATGTTTTGGCTGTACATAAATGGCCTGATTTATATATATTAGCATTTGCTAGGAATTTTGATACCAAATTATTCAGCTCTAATTAAACAAATGGGAATATTTTCTACTCAGAAAATTCTGACATGATCTTGCTCAAGAAGCTAGAAGACTTCTTTTTCTTTCTCCTTAAGAGAATTTGTAATGCTAGGTCTTCCCTAAACATTTGATGAATTAGTATAGAAGTGCTGTCTGGATATGGAGTTTTCTTTGTGAAAAGGATTTGAATTTTAATTTATTTCATAGATTTAAGAATATTAACGTTTTCTTGGTAATTTATCAGTTTTTTTGTCTTAGTAATATGGATCTCAAAGAATTTCTTCATTCCATGAAACTTATCATTACATTGTTCAAGTATCATTATTATTTTAATGTCCTATCAATTTTCATTTATTATAAGGCTGATTTCTTTTTCATCATCTAAAATTGTGTAAAACTTGTTAAAAATTATGTAAAAATTGTTAAAAACTTATTAGTTTTACTAGGCTTTGTTCAATGTGTTTACTATAAACTTTCCCTTCCATATTTCTGAGTTTTGTGTGCTTAGTTTTGTTCCTATCCCATTTCATATTTTTACCTAGTTGTTTTGCTAATATCTTGAGGTCAGAAGATAAATAAATTATATTTTAATGGCATAATGTAGAATTTCTATAGACTGCCAAACACTGTTTTAATTCTTTCAATAAGTTTCGGTAACTTCTGTTTTAAATATCATAGTTTTATAGTGCTTTTTAATTTCTGATGCCAGTTTTTCCTTATTCCATAAATTATTACAAATTCATCAGGAATTTTAAAAAATATTTAGACATTTGCTAAACATTTCATATTTTGTTTTATTTACGGTTTACTTTCATTATGGCAGCTCAACACTTTCTTGATATATCACTCATTGATCCAACAGAGTGTGATCTCCTTTGGGTACCAAATCATTTGCTTTAAATTTGACCTAGCAATGGTCAGATTTACATATTAAATAATAGGTACTGTGTGGCTATTTGTTAGTAAAACAAAATTGATTTTATTCTGTGCTTTTATGTGGAGCAAAATCAATGATTTAAAATCCTAATACAGATCATAACAGCTTTATTCATAATAGCCAGAATCTGGAAATAACCTAGATGTCCCTTAACCGAAGAATAGATACAGAAATTGTGGTACATTTATACAATTGAATACTACTCATCAACTGAAAACAAGGAAATCATGAAATTTTCAGGCAAATGGATGGAACTAGAACAGATCATCCTGAGTGAAGTATCCCAGAAACAGAAAGACACATGGTATATACTTCTTATAAGTGGATATTAACCATATACTATACAATAAACATACTAAAATCTGTAGTCCTAAAGAAGCAAAACAAGGAGGATCCTAGGGAAGAGGCTGAAACCTCATTCAGAAGGGCAAACAGGATAGACATCAGAAATAGGAGAAGACAGGGAGCAGGAGAAGAGACTTTCACAGAGGGCCTCTAGAAGACTCTACCCATTGGGGTATCGAAGGAGATACTGAGACTCACAGCCAAACTTTGGACAGAATTCAGGGAATCTTATGGAAGGATGGAAAGATAGACTTGAAAGGGAACTCCACAAAGAGACGAACAGAACCAAAAATCCTGAGCCCGGGCAGACCTGCAGATACTGTTATTTCCACAAAGGACCATGCATAGAGAGGATCTAGAATAGAACCCCTGCAGAGATGAAGCCCATAGGCTGCTCAGTTTCCAAGTGGATTCCCTAGTAAGGGGAGCAGGGGCTTTCTCTGACATGGACTCAGTGGCTGGCTCTTTGATCACCTCCTGTGTGATGCAGCCTTGCCAGGCCACAGAGGAATATGGTGCAGCCAACCCTGATGAGACCTCATAGGCTAGAGTCAGATAAAGGAAAAGAGGTCCTCCCCTATCAGGGGACTAGGGGAGAGGCATAAGGAGAGAAGGTGGAGGGTGGGTGGGACTGGGAGGAGATGAGGGGGGTGCTGCAGAGGGGATACAAAGTAAATAAATTATAATAAATAATAACAAAATAAAAAATAAAATGGAAAAATCCTAATACATAATTTTAATATCAAACAGGCTAAGCAGTGCTCAGTAAAATTCCAAAATTTTCAGTATTTGACTGACTATAAATTATTCCCTGTAAAAGTGGCAGAATAAAGCAATAGGGCATAAAGATTTTTAAATGACATAAAGTGAGGATGATCGTTGATAGTATAGGCAAAGAGAAAGAAGTACATTGATTGTTTCTAACATTACCTATGGGATGACCTAAAAACTATTGAAGTATAGCTGGATGGAGACAAAAATTTCCATCTCAGTAATTTTAAATATGAAATTTAACTGTTACAGGGTATGTAGGGGCACAATGAAAAACAAGGAAGTCATGCACAGTGTTATTCATGGCAACCTCTAATTTATTTGGTAACTATCTCCATAATCATTTAATATTGAAATTTCAAAAAACAATATGAATTTAATATTAAAAAGTGCAATTGCTCATCTTCTTTGAGTTAGCAATCAAACTATGTAATGATTCTTAATTTATATGTTGTGTTTAAAGTTATATTTTACACAAATGCAAAGATAATTATGTCCTCAAAGTTAAGGATATATGGTTCAATTGATAAGGAAGACCAGGATTCTGGTTTAGTTGTATAAATTAGGGAACATAAAATGACATCTCAAACATTAGTTTTCCAGTCTCTAACAGAGATAAGAATTTTCTTTTGCCAAAATATAATGTGATCACTTAAAAATGTTGTATATGAGAGCCTATAAAATTACCATTTTAAAAATGAGCTATCATTAGTCTTATGTGTACATTGTCTAGAATAACTGATAAAATTAAAATATGAGGAAATATTTTGAAAAATTTTGAATATCTGAAAAAATACCGAATTTAGAAGTTGGTATTCCATTTTCTAGCATATATAAATTACTGACACATTAAAGTTTAAAGAACATATGGAATGGAAGTAATAAGAAACCTAGTATAAATTATATATAGAAACTATGGTATGAGAATAGGTCATTGTTTAAAGAGGAAACATGACCTTCTAAATATGATCTCAAAAATCTCAGCAACACATAATATTATTGTGATTACAGTAAATGTGTACATTGCAATGAGAAAAATTGTCTTTTCAAAGTGTTCTGGAACCATGCATTTTAGAATATTTACTTTTTTACCAAGAGATTCAGCATCACACAAGTATATAGGCTTCACTTGGAAGCCAAAGAGGTGAATCTGAAGCCAAAATGCTATAACCTCCAGACTGATTCTTAACAAGACCGAAAGGATGTAAATCACAGTGTACACAGGCTTTTGAAGAATGCATTCTTGATTGATGCTTTTACATGCAGCATAAAGGTGGAAAACAGCTCCAGGAAGCAGGACAATCACTAGTTGTAATGCCCAGAACACCTAAAGTATATCAGAACTATTTTAGTCCAATCAAATAAGCAACATATAACCTAAAACACATGGAAAATTCTTGGATTCAGCAAGGACTAATTTAAGAAATTATGTTTCATGGATGAAAATAAAAATATGAACAAACAGCAGTCCTGACATATATCATTTAATTACTAATATTTTAGAACTTTAAACATTTAGCACTGTAAAACATGGTCATATTTTACTGACATGGTTCATTTGTTAAAGATAATGATGAATTATTTAATTTTAAAGCTGCTTAATGTTATTGTGCTATATATACAGATAGATAATTTGTATTTGGAAGTAATTTCTGAGAACCTCGAGTTACATTTTCTGAAATACTCAGCTAATTAAAAAATAATACAATTCTCAAACTGTAGAAGAAAAAAAAAACAAGTGTGTTGGGTAGTTAATGTTTTTGTGCACGTTGGAAAACTTACTTGAGGAGTTATTGGCCTGAACTGATTGTAACAGAACAGATTTATCTCTCTTTTGTCTGGGTCACAGCTGAAGTGCAACGCCTCATTCCCATAAACCGCAAAGCCCAGGACTCCAAGGAAGAACATCCGAACTGAGCCGAAGAAGAGGGTGTGGAACTGGCCGATCACAGTTGGAGGTTTAACCTATTGTTTTTGGAGGGGGGAAATTTGGTTGGAAAGTAAACATTCAATAGGGATGCATTGAAGGATTTTTTTTTTTACTACTACAGTAAAATAAAATAAAAAAGAACATTTTTTTAAATGTTAAGATTTGAGAAGTTTTAAGCAAGACAGAGTCTTTGAGGTGATCAAATTTAGTGTAAACCCTGCTTTATGAAGTTATTCTAATTCACTCTTCATAAACTACAGTAGTCAAATAGGGATCAATTGCCAATCAAATGGGTAAGTTTTGAAATACTTTAAACAGCCTTGAATGTAATTGATATTTCTTTTTCTTCTAGTCTCTTTGAAATAAAACCAAAATATCTTAGAATGTCTGATTGTCTCTTTTGGAAGATTAAATGACAAATACAACATTGTACTTAGGGCAAATACTGTCATAACATCAGAACAGTAATTATAATTTTGGCAAGATTTTTCCTACTTGCCAAATATTGAATTAAGAGTGTGATCTACTTTAATGCATCAATGGATGAAAGTACCTCCAAATCTATAATTTTAAATCTAGAATATTTTACAGCACATGGTTGTTATTTAGATTATTTTCTTTGTAAATGTACAGTAAATGTACTCATTAACACTCATGCCAAGAAGTTAAAATACACAGACAAAAACCCATGCGATTGATTTTCTTGTTTGCTACTTACACATCCTTCATAGAAGTTCTTGATGTAATTTAGAGACATCTTTCAGGAGATGTTATCCTGGCATCCCTGTGGGCTGTTGTTGAACTATGTTGTCAGTTTGCTTCTAACAGAATCAAACTTTTACATTCTCTCTTGACTTGTACAACAGAAACCACCTATCTCTGCAAAATTCTCTCACCCCTCCTTTTCCTTTCTTTTTTCCTCATAGATCTCTGGGGCCCTAGTCAACTTTCCTACTTCATCTCAAAACAAAACAAAAACAAAGAAACAAAAGAGGAGGGCATGTGGTCAATCTAATAATCCCTTGGCTTGCAAGATCAGCAAAGCCAGCCAGTCAGTCATGAGCGCCAGCAAAGCAGGCCAGCAGACAGATGCCCTGAGCATGCAGGGGCCTGGCAATCTCTTGAGAATTGCTTAGATGTAAATCTGTGCATTTTATACTCTGGAGTTTTATTTGCTGTGTCCTAAAGTACATGGAAATATCTCTGATATTGTTTGGTTGACTTCCACAACATATCATTAATTTCTAGGGAACCTAAGAAGTTGTAAACATGGGCTTATCATATGAGCTTATTCCAACATTGAATATTACTTGTGTGTTATATTTATCTTCACTGAATACTTGCAACAGGTGTGGAGAAAGATACAGTGAGTCCTTTGTTCTAAGGATACATATGTGAGGTGATAATCAAGATTAAGACTAGGGTCTAGCATAAATTATAACAGTCTATCTTTTCCCTTTGTCCTTTAATAGATATGTTATCCACTAGATATTGTTATGGATGACCAATAATAGCACACAGCCAATGATGGATAATATCTATTTCCTTTACTCACCTTTCTTTCTCCTGTGATATCCTGAAGATGAACTCCAGACTTTTGTTTCAACAGTGGAGAACTGACACCATTATATGTAATTGTAACAACGGCAATAAGCAATTTAATTGTTGAATAAGTGCTGTTTTAATAGTAACAACTAAAATGTGCAATTTAATGATTACTTAGATTAAAAAAATTGGCCCATATTCAAATCTCTTCAGGTTCAAAACGTGGTACATGTTAATTCCTTCTTAGAAAGAGAAGTGTAAAAGCTCTCACAGTTAATGTTGTGTTTTGGATTCTACCTATGCACAGTAGGAAATGATAATGTTTAGTTAAGTATATACAGTGTCATGTATGTATGAATCATTGGCATCCTCCTGTGGGCTTCTTGTTCACAAGGGGAAAGTCCTGGTCAATAAATGTTGTATATTCACTCTTACTTTCCAGAGGTATGTCAAACTCACCAGGCTAAAGTACTTTTTGGGTGAGGGGCCTCACACATATATTTGGTAGGATTGTTTATTGGTTGATTATCTGGGTTTCTTTACATGCAGGTTCCTAAAAACACAGATTAAGCAGTGCCTAGGCACCTGCTGAGTGTATGTTTACTAATAATACATTACATAACAAAACTTATGGTAACTAAGATGTGAGAAATAGCTTCTACTGTTTCATCTGAAGTCATGTGACCAAGGTATACTATAAAAAATAAGGAAAATTAAAAAGATAAGTAAAATTGTGTTGAACTTCGTATTCTATTATAAATATTCTATCACAAATATACATGTCTTTTTCACTGTTTTCACCATGGTGCCAGGATGCTAACCCTGCCATCTAACAGCAAACTTGAGCTTTATGCCCGGATATAGCTTAGACATGACTCTTCTCATACTAGAGTCTGGAGACAAAAAAGGAAATATTATCATCTATTAAACGTCCACTTTATTGCTTAAAAAAATGGGTTTGTTTGCTCTTCAATGGCCTATAACTCTGTAATCTGTTCTTTGCTGAAAACACCTTCCCTCTTTTATTAGGAAAAGAGTGATTGTGTTGGAAGCTAAATAGTTTCCTTAACTACTTCCAGCCAGAAGCAAACCTGAGAACCAGAAGCCTTATAATTTGACAAAGATCTAGCTCTTTAACCAATACTAGCAATTCTTTATCTAGTATAGCCTAAAAAAACTGTTTTATTTATTTCATATGTATGAATATTTTGTCTACAGATATGAATGTGTATCACAGCATGTGGGGCACCTACAGAGGTCAGAAATAGTGTCAGACCCCTTTGAGCTGGAGATAGACTGCTGTAAGCTGAAATGTAGGTGTTGGGGAGTGAACCACAGTCCTCTACAAGAGTAGCAAGTGCTCTAAGTTAAGTCAGCTCTCTAGCTTCTGTTGTTACATTCTTAATTACTTTTCTCCTGTTTCTATGCATCAGATTTAACACACTTGGCTTTTTTCTTTTTTATCTTTTAAATTTGTTTCTTTCTTTCTCTTTCCTTCCTTCCTTCTTTTTATTTCTTTTCTGTTTTCTATTGTTTTGTTTTTCAAGACAGGTATTCTCCATGTAGCCTTGGCTGTCTTGGAACTTGCTCAGTAGATCAAGGTATTTCCAAACTCACAGAGATCTGCCTGCCTCTGCCTCCTGAGTGAGTGCTACGTTTAAAAGAAAGTGTCACCACTGCCTGGCACACCCTTAGTTTTATTTTTTTAATAAGTCATATAACTTCTTTTTTTTTTTGAATTTTATTTTTTTCTTATCAGTTGCATTTTATTAACACTGTATCCCAGCCATGTCCCGATCCCTCATTCCCTCCCAATCCCACCCTCCTTCCCTCATCTCCACCCTGCCCCTTGCCAAGTCCACTGATAGGGGAGACCTCCTCCCCATTCATCTGATCCTGTTTTATCAGGTATCTTCAGGACTGGCTGCAAAGCTCTCCTCTATGGCCTAACAGGACTGCTCCTCCCTTGGGGGATGGGGAGGCCAAAGAGCCAGTCATTGAGTTCCTGTTAGAAATAGTCCTTGTTCCCCTCACTATGGGAAACCAATTGGTTACTGAGCTACCACAGGCTATATCTGAGCAGAGGTTCTAGGTTACATTCATACATGGTCCTTGGTTGCATGTCAGTCTCAGAAAAGACCCTGTGCCCAGATATATTTGGTCCTTGTGGAGCTCCTATCCTTTCCTCATGAGACTAACTCCCCTTCTTTCTTATGATTCCCTGTACTCTGCCAAAGGTTTGGTCATGAGTCTTTGCTTTGAAAACACTGCTAGTTAGAGTTTTTCAAATGCGCTCAGTAGACTCCTGTCAATTTTCAATGTGCATCCCATCTGTCTTTCAAAACGAGGACTGATAACCTTACCCCATGTCCGCTCTCTTGATTATCTTTTTTAGGTGTATAGATTTCATTATGTTTATCATATCTTATAGGTCTATATAAATGAGTATATACCGTGTTTGTCTTTCTCCTTCTGGGATATTTCACTCAGGATGATCTTTTCTAGATCCCACCATTTGCCTGCAAATTTCATGATTTCCTCCTTTTTGATTGCTGAGTAGTATTCCATTGTGTAAAAATACCATAATTTCTGTACCCATTCCTCCGTTGATGGACATCTGGGTTGTTTCCAGGTTCTGGCTATTACAAATAAAGCTGCTATAAACATGGTTGAGCAAATATCCCTTTTGTGTACTTGAGCAAAGTTTGGGTATATACCTAGCAGTGGTATAGCTGGGTCTTGAGGAAGCACTATTCCTAATTGTCTTAGAAAGCGCCAGATAGATTTCCAGAGTGGTTGTACCAGTTTACATTCCCACCAGCAGTGGAGGAGGGTTCCCCTTTCTCCACAACCTCTCTAGCATGTGTTGTCCCTTGAGTTTTTCATTTTGGCCATTCTGATGGGTGTAAGGTGATATCTCAGGGTCATTTTGATTTGCATTTCCCTGATGGCTAATGAGGATGAGCATTTCTTTAAGTGTTTCTCTGCCATTCGATATTCCTCTACAGAGAATTCTCTGTTTAGCTCTGTCCCCCATTTTTTAATTGGATTACTTGGTTTGCTGCTTTTCAGCTTCTTTAGTTCTTTGTATATACTCGATATTAGTCCTCTGTCAGATAAAGGGTTAGTGAAGATTCTTTCCCAATCTGTAGGCAGGCGTTTTGTTTTGATGACAGTGTCCTTTGCTTCCTGCCAAAAGCAATCTACAGATTCAAGGCAATTCCCATCAAAATACCAACTCAATTCTTTACAGACCTTGAAAAAAAGATTCTCAGCTTCATATGGAGAAACAAAAAACCCAGAATCTCCAAAACAATCCTGTACAACAACAGATCATCTGGAGGTATCTCCATCCCCGATCTCAAGTTGTACTACAGAGCAATAGTAATAAAAACTGCATGGTATTGGCATAAAAACAGAAAGGAGGATCAATGGAACCACATAGAAGACCCAGAAATAAACCCACACACCTATGAATACTCGATTTTGGACAAAGAAACCAAAACCATTCAATGGAAAAAAGACAGCATCTTCAACAAATGGTGCTGGTCCAACTGGATGTCCACATGCAGAAAAATGAAAATAGATCTATATTTATCACCCTGTGCAAAACTAAAGTCCAAGTGGATCAAAGACCTCAACATAAAACCAGATACTCTAAATCTGTTAGAAGAAAAAGTGGGGAACAGCCTAGAACTCATTGGCACAGGAGACAGCTTCCTGAACAGAACACCAACAGCACAGGCTCTAAGAGCAACAATCAATAAATGGGACCTCATGAAACTGAAACGCTTCTGTAAAGCAAAGGACACTGTCATATAACTTCTTAAATATTTACTTCCTGTCCTTCCACTTATTTGCTGCTATTTGTGGATTAAGCTTCCTGTGAGAACATGCTTTGAAGATTTTTAGAAATCTTTTGTCTGACAGACATGGTCATTAGTCATACTTTGAGTACTTGAGAAATCATATGCAAGGATGTTATAGTCATATCATTAATTTGAATTCTATCTTAAATCCATTTCTTATGTTAGAGACTTTTACTGGCCAGGAAGAGTAAGTGAAAAAAAATCTAGCATAGCAAGTCGTGACTCCAAATTTTGCTTGGAAAGCTATACTTGGCTTTCTAGACAAGGGAACACAGAATGAGTACTTAGATATGGGATCATGGGGAAAAGGGAGAAAAAACCATGTACCTTCTTGTTTTCTTCT